GCAACATCTCTGGATACAAGCAGATTGCATAATCCAATCAGCTTCCAAATATTTGCGTTTGGTTAAATCATTTTCTTCATTTGGTACAACCAGGAAAAAGGAGGGGGGCTAATGGTTGTAGTAACAATAAGTACCCGTTTGGCATTGCTTATTTGGGGTGATAAGTGATTTTTAAAAAATTTTGAGAACCCCAGCCGTTTGGTAACCTATAATAAAATCACTTATTATTAAAAATTGTTGTGGGATAAAGCAATAAAGGAAAGCAGCTAATGAGCTGCTTTCAATTTATGATTATATGATAATCAGATTTGAGGAAGCGTTGGGTTTAATGAAAATTATAACATTCCAAAAATACCCCAATATGATTTCACGCTTTCTTCTTCTTCGTGTGTCTTCTCTATCCCACGCCACAGAGCACTTTCTCCTTCTCTTCCATTCTTCATTTTTTTCTTGTTGGATCAATTGAAGCGCATTCCTAAGAAGCCACAAGACTCAAGTAAGAGGCATATTGTGTATATTTCTTCTCAATTTCATTCTTCCTTCTTTCTCTTTCATTTTTAGGGTTTTAACTATCTTGGTTTTTCTTCACGCAATTTCTTCACAGAGATCACTCATCTCCTTCTCTTCCATACTACCTACGATTTTTTCTAGTTGGATCAATTGAATCGCATTGCTAAGCTACAAGACTCAGGTATATTTCTTTTCAATTTCCTTGTTCCCTCTTTATCTTTGATTTCTAGGGTTTTAACTTTCAATTGTAGCTGCTGTTGGTTTTCTATATTACGTATTGGCATGAGAATGGTATTTTTCTATTTGGGTTTTAGGGCCCTTTCCTGATAGGGTCAAGTTCCTATAAACTGGTCGAATTGGTATAGAAAAGGGAAATAGGCAAATAGATTTCAAGGAGGTCATAATTTCTTGGAATTTTCTACTTGGAAACAGGCAAATAGGGTCAACCTCCAAAGCATAAATCTGTATTTTTTTACTTGGAATTTTCTATATTATCTTTGTCATAACTTCTTCTATATATATAAAGCAAAAGATAAAGAATGGTGAAACATTCAAAATGCCAGAAAATGCCCTTGGTTAATTCAAATATTAAAAATTAAAATTAATAATTAAATGAGGATAATATGGTAAATTGACATTTTTTTTATATTAAAAATAATAATAATAAAAACAAAATCAGATAATAGGTCCTACTTTTATGGAACATAACTACCCATATTATCTTTTCTTCATTCTAAAAAGAAAAGAAAAAAGAAAAGAGAAAACCAATTGGCACATGCGTGAGCGTGTGCCAAGGGGCTAGTAGTTTATGATGTGAAAAGGGTTATATCAATTGGCAAGGCAGGTCCGAAATAAAATTCCAATTAAAACAACATAATTCAACAAAAAGAAATAAAATATAGACCAATATATCCCCAGAACCGCGGGTTGAGCTAGCGCGTTCTGCGTACGCGAGCCTAAGATTTGCGTCTTTATAATGGGTACAAAATATCCCAAAACGGTAACTTGAGCCGTGTTTTGTTTTCCCTCCACTAAAACACTAGTGTGAGAGGTTTATAGAGGGAACAAATGCTATCGCGACGACTTCCTTCTACGGCAGTTTCTTTCTCATGGCGGCGGTCCAGA